GGGGGGGGGGGGGGGGCGGTTGGCTGCGTTCGGGAGATCAAAGGGGCGTAGGGAATGCAGAGAATATGGGGGTCTCCGGTGTGCTGGGGGGACATTTCTCGGCTTGGTGGGGAAGGGGAGGAGGCAGGTCTTGTCTGGGTGGGGGAGAAACAGGAGGAACCGTGAAGCGGGTAGGAGCTGGGCTGTGCTGTGCGTGCCCGGGGGCAGGGTAGGCCGTGGGGGATGGAGGCGTTAAGTTTGCTTGTGGGCTGCAGGCATTAGGAAAAGGAGGAATCTAGAGGCAACACAGCTGTGGAGCGAGGCGGGGAACGCCTCTTCTAAGAAGAGTGGTCCTAGGAGAGGGACGGTGGCAGACAACGGTTGAGAGTGCTGCGGGCATCCCAGGGATGGGATTGCTGGGAGGCAGCGCCTGGTCTGTAGGCGTGGACCAAATACTGGCAGCTGAGTCTGCTGCTGAAGCTTGTCTGGAAGAAAAGATTCAGTTCGAAATACCTCACTTGAGTCTGTTTTGACTCATTTGAGTATGTATGAATTTTTAGCCACCAAAACAGCTCCATCCTATATTTTGGATAGTGCCCAGCATGCTGAGGACCTGGTTGACCTCTGGCATTTGTATGGTTGGAAAAATTATATTAGTATTAAAATTCTGCGGACAGTGAGAGATGTCAGTTCGCAGGGATTCTAGGTTGCTGTTGTTGGTCAGCTGCTGCGAAGCAGCGTTGATGTCGTAAGAGGATGGCAAATACATCAGAAACAGGGAAGGATTTGTCTTCCGTGGGGTGTTTTCTGACAAAACTTTCTGCATGGAAAATAATATTGCTCAGGAGAGACTAAAGAAAGTCGTCATAGGCACTAACTGCAGACTCATGTAAGCAAGGTGGACGTAATTGGGTATTTATTGAAAGTGTGGTCACTGCCACTCTTCCCGGGTGCTTTTCTCAGCCTGTCAGATGTCATTCAAAGTCCCAGGCTTATTTTTAGACGTGCCTGAGTACTGAGAGCAGTTGCAAGGCTGAGAATCGTCAAATGAGTTTATTTAGAAAGATGCTCAGTGCTGGGTTTAATGGCAGGTGTGAGTCCATGTCCATTAAACTGATATAAAAATGTCAGCTTGGCTACTTTGTGAGAAATATGATAGTTTCCTCTCTATTCTGTAGAGAACAGCTAAAAAGAGAATATGAAAGTCCACAGCCCATCAGAGGTTTATATCCATTCTTCATTAATTTATCAAGTTTTCCCACTTTTTTTGTAGAGTTGCCTTTAGAGAGCAAAACAGAAGGTATATCAGTAAGCTGATAATATTTTTTTTTTTCTCCTTTCTCCCTGAACTTTCTTCAGGAAGAGGAGACGGAATGGCAATGAAGATGACGGTCACGTTCCCCAGACAAAACGTAGTACCAGGAATACTGTCCTTCAGGACTCTTGGGACACTGAGGTGAGAGCCTTCTTGGGCAAATTCAGTTTCCTTTAATGCTGAATTTAAATAACGGTTGGAATATTCTGTGAAATTTTATTCATGGAGAGTAGTTAATGAGAACACTTTTTTTTGCTTTGTGTACGAGGTCATGAGGCTTGACTCTATTACGTACTTCAGAGATTGAAATCTGTAAAACATGGTTTGGAAATCAGCATGTTTTCCAGTGAACCTGCTTATCTTTGGCCTGAATATTTCTGTTAATATATTTCAAATACTGATGTGTAGCACCCACGTGAAGATACAAGAAAAGCATTTGCTGCCACTTCGACTTTTGTTGTCCGAAATGAGGTGTAACGTAACCAGAACCGAGGAGATGACTAGGGTGGATTACAAGTGCGCGTGGTCACTTTGCCTGGCCATCTGCTCTTCCAACTTTGCGTTTACTTACAGTAACGTGATTATTTGTGGTAGAAAGTCAAAAAAGCATTCCAACTAGCGTGATACACAAAGTGCCTGTTGCAAGCAGCAGTGCTTATCTGATGTTTAAAAAATGCTCTGATAGAGCTCGTCAGTTTAAGCCAGACTTGCTTGTTCACAGCTAAAATACTTGAACTCAAACTATTGGGTTTCTGCACGTATTTGCCATGATCTTTTGCTGGACGTGGGATAAACTGTCTGTTTTTCTCTCATCGCTCACATGACAGGTGTTTGAGGATGGTGCAATTTGCTAGCTATGAGATTTCTTTTTTTAAAAAATGCTGATTTCCAAACTGCTGCCAGATCTCCTGAATTGTTGCCTGTATTAATCATCTGAAAATTCACTGTATGCATTTCTAATTAGCAATGTAGTTCTGTTGCAAAATGTTCATGGAAAAGAGCGTGCAGAGCAGAGGCTCCCTCCTGGTTTGTGTCCCTGGAAGTTAATGAAATGGATTTCTTTTAAGGTTTTTGTTCAGCCCTCTCACTCCGAAGATTGGCTGTAATGAGTAATTACAAACTACTGCAGTTATATTGAACTATTAACTGTACTTTGACTACAGAAAATGTTTTGTGCTATGTAACTTTGAGCAACATGTCTTTTATCATATGGTAATGGCTTCAAACGTATACTTACATTTAAAATGATACAAAGCTCTGTATCCCCCCGATCCTTCTGTGAGGGAGACTTTCTTTCGACCAGTACACCTTGACACGTAGCTGATGCGATAGTCAGTGATATTGTCTGGAAAATGCTGTTAAGAGCCGAGGTGTTCATCACGAAGGAACTCACTGTGACAAAAAATGTTCCTGTATTGCTGTGTTGCCAGAAGTAAGACTTGCTGCGATGAAGTAGTTTTTGCTTCTCGGGTATAACGGGTAGAACCATAAATAGTTGCTTGCCATCTGACACTGAATCACTTGTCCAACAGGTTAAACACCTCTTCGTTTGTAGAGTAGTTAATGGCTAAACGAGCTTTGTGGCGGGAGGAGGAAGAATTTAGTGTGGAACGAGGGATTGAAGTAGGAGTAATGAAATTAAGAATATCAGGAAAAACCTTCATGGTGAGTGGCAGAAGCACCTTTGCTTGTTGTATAAACACTTGGCGTTTGACTGGGCAAAGCCGCTAAAATGCAGAAATGGAAATAGTCTTGTAGTCGCCACACAAGAGTGGATGACCTTAACTCTGTCCTTAACGGCTGTTTTGTTTGGGGTGCCTGCAAGTGAACAGCATGGGCATGAACTGCCTGCCCCGCCACCAGCGAAATCAGTGCAGAGTTCAGTTGCTGAAGCTAACATTAAGACTCCTGCTTCATGCATGCACTTGTGTTGTAAAAGTATGTTTTTAACACATTAAACCCTGATGTGCAGGCAAGGAGAATCTCTTACTGTTGACACTGAAGTGGAGGAATGCGCCTGCTGGACACAGTTTTACAAAAATCAATGTTCTCTTTCTCGAGGGAACAAAATCCACAATGTCGTCTACTGATGAATAGAGCTTTTTTTTTTTCTTCACTTGTTTTCTTGTAATGTTGGACCACTGAATTAAACATGCCCAGAAATTCAAGCCATGAGATTAAATCAGTATTATTTGAATGTTTCTTTAAGGACTTCCTGTGCCAAATGGAGAAATTCTTGTGCTTATAGTGCACAAGTGCTTCCGATTGATGTCACTTTGAAATTCTTGGCCATTTGTAATACTTTTATTTAGTTTCCTGATACTTTGCCATTTGCAAAGCCAGCTCTGGCTGATTACAAATCCTCACTAGCTTTAGGATACTGAATTAGGAGAGAAGCTGTCCCTGTGAGGGCAATTTGTAACTTCAAAGAGTACATGAGGAGAGAATGGCTTTTCATCTGAGGGCATAGGCACACCTGCTTTTTGTGAAACATTAGCTAAACTACTGATTCCTTTTGCCTTCCTTCAGTTGGAAGTTGACCGTTTTCTGTTACAGACTGTGCTTTACTTGAGAACATAACCTCAGTATGAAAATCAGGCAGCCGTATGACTAAACCTGAACTTGGCCTCTGTCAGGATCTCTCTCAAATTTTTTTTGTCTTACTCTTCATAGCTGACAGCAACATGTGTAAGATGAAGGGAGATTTTTTTTTCTTAGAGGCAGGTCAAACGTGGGCTGTTCTGTGATGTTGTCCTTCAGTTTGAGGGACAAATCTGCTCACGAGCTAGATTTGATGCAAAAGGATATCGCTGTTTTCTCCCACTAGATTGTCCTTTCATCCAGGGTAGACAGCATCCTTGACTCCAACTGACATTTACAGCAGGGAAACAGATTCTCTTCAATCTCTGTCAGCACTACTTCTCGGCAAATTGCTATACCGATGTGCAATTCCTGCTCCTGGAACAAACCATTCCCACGCTCCCAGGTGACAGCCACCCTGAGGACGACAGTAAACTTCTGCTTTGCAGTTCAGTCCGTGAACAGGCACATGACGAAAATGCTAGACTAGAACTACAGCAAACGTTAAACATTAGCAAAGCAGAGCATTTCCCACCGCATTTCACTTCCTGATCAGCCTGTCCTCCGTTTCCCAGGAGGTTAGCTGCGTTGTTTTCCCTTGTACTTGCTTATAAATTCAGCAAAAGCCCTTCCTACTCTCCTGTCATTGCTGTCCTGTACGTGAAGTTAGGCAGCGTTGCAGTGGATCCTCTGAGAGGCCCGGCTGCAAGCAGCCGCTCACGGGAATTCTGAGAATCTGCAGTTGTGCTCTGCAACCTGGGGAATCACCAATGCAAAGCCCTTTGCTCTGATTTTCCCTGGGAAGGAAGGGAGTCTGCAGTGTTCTGACTAGCTCTTTTCCTTCCTGAATAGCTTTCTTCTGTAAAACCTCATCTTGTGGTTCCTCTTTGTTACTCTGATCGATGACAGGATTCCCCAGAGCTTAGAAATACCGCTGTTTTATCTGTGGAGATTGCTGACGCACAGCAGCAGTTGCTTCTCTCTAATCAAAGTTTTTGTCTAGCGTTACAGCTATGCCACTCTACAGTATTACACTGTTGAGGAAGGGCTGGTCTTAAATTCTAATTAAAACCAGATTATGCCTCTGTTAAACTCATCTTGAAAGATTTTTGAGAGCAGCAGGGCCTGAATGGCTGTCATGAATGATTGAGATGCTACATTACAGATGGGAAGACTAATACATTTAACAGGACATTTGTTTGAAAATTATTTAAAACTTCTGTAGCTACTCAGTGTGATGTTAAGAGGGGCTAATGAGTCAGGTAAACTGTGACGATGTCCTTTTGATACTTAAAGTGCTCATAAGCTTTCATGGGGCTACTTTCCTTTGCCCTTTCGCTTAAAACTTTGTTGCATTGTGTAGATGCCTGTCATTGCTGACATGATGACTTTAAGGATTCTTTTTTTGTCTAATTGTAGTCCAAATGCGTAACAGAATGTGCACCACAGCCTGGGGAAATGGTAGGTCTTTGACATGATTTGGGCAATAAATGGGCTTCACGTGCTAGTGAATTTTTGCATTAGAGAAATGGAAATAAAGAGGGTCTGACAAACCAGATCTGTCAACAGCCTTAGATGTAGGAAGCACGTCCCAGGACACTATCTCGGTTTTAAAAAAATTAGACATGCATAAAATAATCATTACTAACAGCTCTAAAATGTTTAAGATGTGAAACTTTAGCAGTAAGTAATACTAGGTTCTCATTTTGATTTTTGCCTTGATTTTCAGAAGGTGGCTGTAACGAAAAACAGTAAGGAACACAGACTAAAAGGAAACAAAGTGTCCTGTGCGGTGGGTTTCTCTCCAAGGCTGCTGTGACTTGTTCAGCGTAACAGCATTGCATTTCAATATTTGTGCTTCTATGCAAAATGAGATGGGCTAGCAAGCACCATTTCGTGGCTCCTCTCTGTCCTTCTGGTGTTGTCTCCCTCTCTAGCGTTAGCAGCATTAGGAAGAGGAGCTGGTTGCTCATGTAGATACATCTGCTGCTTCCTCAAGAATGACTTCACACGTGTTCTGTTGTTTTCTCCTTGCTAGCTGAACCTAACACGCCAGCACGGGTGCAGCCTCGGTGCCATTGTCTTGCTTGCTGTACTACAACAGAACTGAAGCATTTTTGGTGCTTAGCAAAACAAGGCAACGTATATGGTTGAATTGTCACAATCGATTGTGGAATCAGTGCCGTGGGGTTTCCAGTTGGCATTGAGATGCGGTCCACCTCAAATACTCACACAGTGCCTTCCTGGGCCTTTCTCACTGCTCGTTGACAGACGTGTCAAGTGCAGTTTGCACCATTCTTCAGATTTACTCCAAAGTGAGGCCTTCTGGATGTGGTGCTGACTTAAATTACTGTGGACTTCTTTAAATTTGTCTTCCTCAGCTGTGGCCACCAAGCTTTGACTTCTGTGGTTTTAGTTTAATACTTAGAAAAATGTAGGTTGTTTTTTTTTTTTAGTTGTAGCTACTTACACTGGCTGCTTTTGTGAATTTATTTCTTATGGGATGGCAAAGTAGCCATTCTCTGATTCTTAAGCACCTAAATATTTGCAGTGTTGCCCTGAACAGCATATCGCACAGTAATGAAATATTTCAGCTGTAACTAATGGAACCTTTCATTAGCAGCCCTTAAAATGGTGTAAACCAAACAGTTTTATGTCTTTGAAACACTGAAAATGATGGCTAATGCTCTTCCAATCATTATCATGAGATGTGTTTATTCTAAATGCTGGCAAATGAGCCCTGTCCTCTATGCCACCTAAATCATGAGTTCTCTTTTCTGCATGTCTTTGATGCCTGTCGCTATTTCACTGTCGTGTCAAGTAAATTGTTATGGAAAACTACCAGTTAACATTGCCTCCCCAGTACTTAACTGGGAGAAGAGTAGTTGTGTGTATGTCAAGGTGTTCAAAGACTTAAAATGGGTATCATGTTGTGTTTGTTTTTAACAGCTTGTTGCTTTGGATGCTTCAGATCTCATTTTAGAAAGATTGACTTGTAGGAAAATGCTTTGCATGGTGCTTACCGAAAATGTCTGCTAGAACAGAAGTGATAAACTTCTCCTCATGCCCTGCCTGCCTTTACTGACACATGCAGTTCAGTAGGAATGTTCTTTATTTTCCAATTCTCGGATGAATTCAGCAAACTTCACTAGTGCTAACGTGGGTCATGGGGGCAGAGCTGGTGGGCCTAAAACCGAAAGATTGAAATCCAATGTACCGGAGGTCAGCGAACCTCTGGGCGAAGGCTTGCTCGTCCCTGCAGCTCTGACGCTTTTCATGTGTTGGCGATAACGGAAGCTATGAATGCCAAGAAAGCATTTGGTGGATTTACATTAGTCCATCAGGCTGAACGTGAGCCTGAAAATCTGGAAGGGAGGGACTTACTGTAAAGATTGTTTGCTTAACTGAGGTGTTTCATTATGGACAGGAGAGAAGACTGTGTGATTTTGCTGTTAACCTTCTCTTTGTCTCAGTCCTCCAGCAGCGATAGCGGCAGCAGCAGCAGCAGCTGTAGTAGCAGTAGCATCAACAGCCCTGACAGAGCGTGCAGTGCAGAAACCAGCCTAAACCCGGTAATTGCAGGATCCAGTCCTGTCTCCTCTCAGTCCTTCCATGAGCAGTCTGCACTAAGCCAAGGTCCTTACTTCCACATCAACCAGATCCTGAAGGAGGCACACTTTCACAGCTTACAGAGCCGGGGACGCCTTCCTACATGATGAACCAGCAGTTCCCCGCCTTCTGTGAAGGGACAGCACTGTGTAGATTTGATATTTCAACTTAAAAGTTTGTTAAAATGGAATTGCACAAAACGCCTGTTGCCTTTTCAGTCTATATTTGAAATAACAGGTTAACAGGAAATTGTTTACTTGTGGTTTGCTGCACTATTGCAATGCAAAAGGGGCTTTGAAGCAATTTTTATAGGATTCTTTTCGGGGTGGTTATAAAGTACGTGTCAAGAGGAGACTGAGGAGTCCACATCTGTGTTCTAGGATTGCAAAATGTCCAATTCCAATCGACTGCCTAATCTGTTTGTTAGCAATTTGTTGCTTTATGTAAAGTTCTCTCAAACGTTCATCTTCAGTTTTATAAGTCTTTTTTAATTTCAATAAACTAGTAAAAAATTTATTTGGCAACATAATTCTTTTGAGCATTAAGAGTTAAGACGACAGTAAGAATAGGTGCCGTCTCTGGAATCCCTTAGGACTGCCCCAGCTGCAAACTTTCCACCCAGCTCTGTGTGCGATGAGCCTTCTCTGTCTTGATCTTTGCTGCTGCAGTACTGAAAATGTGAAACTGAACCAGGAAAGCATAGGCAGCTGTAGCCGAAACGTCAGGTGCCCGCTGGGTTTGCTTGGAGAGTTTTTTGTGGTGCCTATGGAGACAAGTAGAGAGTAGCCTGGGGAGGGGCTTTTGAAGAAGGAGAGGAGTCTTACATTGCTCCAATACCCATTTCTATCTGTGAAATGTTTTGTTTTCTGTTACAGCGTGTAGTTTTTTGTTTTTTCTTTAATTTGACCTTAATGTTAACGACTTCTGAAGAACAGGAGGTGAAAGAGTAGCTACACCTCTGTTCCAGCAGCCAGAGGGCAAGGACAATCCTGACCTGTGCCTGGTTTAAGGGGCATGCTACGATCTGGCAAAGGATGGAAAAGTACTTCTCTTCTGACAATACCAGCAGAGGTGTCACCGCTTCCTGCCAAGGGGAGAGCGCGATCTCGGTGAAGACGAATACACAGGCAAACTTTTCATTTTTTTTATTGCGTCACTTGGTCATGCCAGAAAGCCATCCCAGCTTGAAGAGAGACGGTGCAGCTGTGTCTTCCTCCTCGGTTACAAACTGCCTGAACAAAGAGCCAGGGCGCGATGCCTCATCTTCTGCTCTTGTGAGTACAGGAGGTGGAACCTGTTAGTTTTTAAAAACAAAAGCATCAGTAACTATTACAGCATACCTTTGACTTACTCCATACCCTCATCTACAGTAGCTGCAAGGAGGCGTAGACTACAGCAGAACAGCTCTTCCCAGGCAACTTGAGCTTGAACTACAACCTAAGCGGTGTCGCTCCTAGCGGTTAGTGACAGGCAGACAGAGGCAGTTCTGAGTGGCAGAAGCACAGTGCCTTGCTGTTGTGAGCAACGGGTAACTTTTCGGGTGTCATTCAATGCTCAAAAAAATCATTCTGAACTGCAGGGAAGGGGCTGTTGCTCTCAGAGCAAGGGGATAACAGCATGGTAGAAGTACAGCTGTTGCCCTTGCAGAGAGCTCTTCTTCATAGAGTAACTATGGATTTTAACCTCTCCTGAACTGTTTTAGCATGAAAGGAGCGAGCATCTGTCAGGGATTCTGAGAAGTGTGGCTAGCGCAGGACATACGTGTGCCACCACAGCAGGCGAGGGGAGTGGTAGGAGCGAGCCAAACATCACTGCACACTTCTACTCTCTACTACAGCTGAGGTGTAAGAGGTAAAGAATACCTTTATTGCGAAGCTTTGGGCTTTTAAACAACCCTTATGCTACATCTGGTCCTTAATGCTTCTGACTAATGAAGAACAGGAGTTGCGGAGTAAACATCAGCATCTCAAGTAACACTCTGCTCTGATAAAACCAGACCTTTACTCTTCTGTCCCAGTTGAAAAGCCGTCACCACAGACGGATTATTGGGTTAATAATAGCTAAAGGAAACAGATTACTAATTACCACTTCCTGTTGCGGTGAGGTATTCTTTGGCTCTTTCAATCCTCAGCATCGAGAATTCCATTTAAGCAGATGTTTTAAACTTGGGGAAATGTAGCAACATAATGGTTGTCTACTGATAAAACTCAGAAACAGGACAACACAGAGCCTTTGCAAGAGAAGCAAGCCACTCTGTTCACACAGGCTTAAATACCCAAGCCAGGCTTCGTCGGGAGTTAAGGGTCAGCATCGCACTGGAAAGGAGTTCAAATAATTAGCTAGTATCCTTCAACGTTTCTTGCAGCCATCTTTAAATGAATTGTCTTTTATGGATTGATCTCAAAATGCCTCATCTGTGTTAAATCCTCACTGCGTTCTCACGGTGGTTATTGCCTATGTTTTACCACAGAGCAGTGGGCCCCAAAAATACAGGGGCCATCAGGGTTTGGGTTTTTTTGAGGGTCAAGGGGAAATCCAAACCATCTCACGCTGTGTTGCCGTAATGGTTCTCTCATTTTACCGAAAATAAAAATCAGGTTAAATATTAACTGTTTGGCTACTTTCTTCTTTCCCCACAAGCTCTAGTGTTGGTGGGAGAATAAGCACTGGCAAAAAGTTAGTACGGCTCAGTTTGACCAACCTGAACTCTTTCTGTGCTCCTGGTAGCAGACTTGCTCTTTCGCGAGCTCGACATACTCAGCGGCAGAAGTCCAAATCTTAAGAGACGGAAGAAAGAAATGCGGCCGGTCACAGGGGAGCAGCAATTCTAGACCCATGAGAACGCACAGAAGAGCTGAGTCCCTTACCTGATCTGACTGGACGCTAACGGCAAGATGTTGTGGAGCTCCTGGGAGCTCAGAGCACTGCTCCTGCTCGTGTACTGGTTTTCTGTCCCGGTCAGCAAGCCGAAGAGAACCTAGAAGGCACGAAGGAGCTGTTTGTATTTGGGGGCAGCTGCAGAGCTGACCACGCAATACATTGCTGGTGAGTCTATTGGCACACCACTTGTGATTGGTTTTAACTTTGAACACGAAGTCTCCCTTCCTCCTCTAACTCTTGCTTTTAATTGGCGCCGCTCGTTATTGCTGTAGTTGAGTTCTAGGCCTCCTTCAGCACCACTTAACCCAATTAGCATTACACAGGCTCCAGTGAATCCTGTTAGATAAAGTTCAGCCAACTCCATGCACGGTTGTGCTGTGCAGCCAGCTCAGCAAGCTCCTCTTCTCTTCAGCTGGCATTAAACCCTCTTCCCATTTCTGAGTAAGGCCAGTAGTTATCTTTAGGCATTAAGCAGTTTATAAAGCCACCCCGGCTGCCCTTCAAAACGTGTTTTGCAGCCCTGCTTCCTGATCCGTCCCTTTCTTTTTCCTTGAACTTACGGAGGTTCGCTGAACCAGGCGATTAAGGTTGCTGTTCAAGTGTGGAGTAAAAACGTCCAAGTCAAAGGGATCTATGTGTCCCTCCAGGAAGTCGGTCACCTTCTCAAGCCTACAAGCAGAGCAGAGTCCCATCAGGGTCCCATCCTCGCGATGGCTGCTGACGCCAACCAGGCAGTTTCACCCGTCCCTCTAGAAACAGCGAGGGACTTTCCCCTAAGAGGTGACTGAGCAAAACGGGAATTGCTCAGCAGAACAGCAGCTGCCTAAAGGGTTTCAGCTATTACACAGTCTACAACATCTGCTGTTGCAGAGGAACCTTCTCCCTGCGGTACTTCTCAGAGAGATACCTCAGTTCTCGAGACAAGGTTTTAACTCTTGGGTGGGAGCTTAACTGTTCTCTCCAGGGGCACCCTCGGATGGTATCCCTGCCGCCGTACGGACACGCTGTGTGTGCAAGCAGGTGGGACCAGCCCGCTGTCGCCGAGCTCTGAGCTGCAGAATCCCACCCCTCCTATGTTTTGAGGATGAGCTTAGCATAGGTGAAGATGTCAGAGCTTAGAGGCCGCGCTGCCCTTCTCCCGTGCGGCCCACAGGCACCACTCCTGCAGGCATTCTCCTGACAGCCACTAACGACGTCGGTTTAAACCGTTTTAAAGCCCCACAAACTACCGCTAGTATCTGAACCCCGGAACTGCACCGCACCCGGAGTCGTGCTTGATCCTGCTGGTTTTTGCTTCCTCGCTCTTCACCGTCAAGATGATACTCAGGTACCGCAGATCGTAGAGCAACTGCAGAGCTCTGTTCTGGGTCATGGGGAAGGTGCCTGCTTTCTGCAAAGAGGACAGTCAGGAAGAGGGCTCTTCACTCACGCTGAGAGTGGGCTGTCAAAGGACTGCTTAGGGGGAAACATTTAAAAACACCAGCACCAAGAAACAACCAACCTAACTGAACTGTTCTGAGCATGCAGTCTGGTGTCTGATCCCTTTTTGCCTCATTTTTGGGGAGGCAGGGGAAGAATGTACTCACCCTTTCCGCCTCTTACAGGCGGACATTTTCTGTTCCGAGGGACAGGAGCGTACGCATCGCCGTATGCCCAGTGACCCTCCCGTCCCATGCCAACTGGGGCAAGGGCGGATCCTACTCACGTACCTTCTCCTGCTTCTCTTCCATGAGCTTTTCATAGGCAGCAAGCACTTCTGCCATGCAGGTCCTCAGCAGCTCCTGCAAGGTGACTTTCGGAAGAGTGTGACCACCGACCCGGTTCACCTCTTGGCACAGGCTGAAGAGGAGGCACTGGACATACCAGGACGGCTGTTTAAGAAAACAGTGTTATTTTCACGTGGTCTGTAAGCTACGTTAGCTTTATCAGCGGCACAACATTGTTTCAGTTCTCGTGATGTGGGCTTCCTACTTCCTCAGCAACCACAAAGCTCTGCTGCTGAGACCTACCTGCCCCCGTAGCATGGCTCAAGTATCTCACGGGTTTTTATTTACTGGCGCACCAGACTTTTGGTTATAGCAGTCCTCAAAATCCCACAAGTACTTTTACCAGAGGTATTCACCTGACTGTAGTCAGAACAGAAATGCTTGTTGTGCCTCTTCTGCCACCACTGACCCTGCTCTGACCATCCACTACTCCCGCGCTCTTCTCCTGGGCCTCCCAGCTATCCTGAGCTCTCATCCGGCTGCTTTTTCCTTCAGCATCAACAAAATTCACCTTATAAAAGTTCACTACAAAAGACCATTGCCCTGTCCAGCCCCTCCCATGCTGTGCAAACACGGAACTCAATCTCGCCCTGGCTCTCCTCTCCCTCCATGCGATCACCACATGCTTTGTCACCAAGTGTCACTCCTGCACCACCACCATGCCTAAGGAAAGCTGCAGGCCTCGGTTCTCTTAGGCTTTGCACAGTCCCACTGGTGCAGCCCTGTCCTTCAGTGCATCCAGTTTCCATGACATCTCTCTCCTGGGCGCCTCTGTGTATAAACCAGGCATAAGTCCTTCTTTGGCTTGGTTTTACAGGATCTGGGCCAATCTTATTCATTTGAATATACAGCAGCAACTA